CGCCCACGGCCGCGCCCGCGGCGGGCAGCGAGAGCAGGTACAGGAGGAACCACCTGGCGTTGGAGGCCCCGATGCAGTTGTTGACCCACACGCAGTGGTGGTCGAAACGGTGGACGCAGACGTTGCAGAAACCTGGTGAGGAGGGAGGGACGAGACTGGGCGGTGGTTTGGGTTTTAAAGGACACGATTTAGGAGAGTTTCTCCTCTGAAAAAATCTGAGATTTATGGTGGTGATTTAGCAGAGAGGTTTTGAAACAAATATGTTCATGTCAAGTGCATATGATAAACACTGCCATGCTAAAATCAAAGACATGCTTCTCATGTCCTCTTTTATTCACCAAGACTCAAAGGCTTTGGTTTCTCTGGCAGGATGACCTAGGGAAGCCTATGAAAGGCAGAGAATGAAGCTCCCAGATTTATTTTAGCTGATAACAGCAACTTCTGCAAGAGAAATACAAACTCAGGTCATGACAGGGAGTAATTTTACACTGAAATTCTAGATTCTCAAAAGCTTGCCTGTTCCTGAACCCAGAATTACACCCTCAGAACTGGCTGTTTCTGTGAGAAGAGACAGCAGCGAAGCAGTTCTGAGGGTGGGAGAAGGGCAGCTGGGATCTGGAAGCCCAGTAAAGTGCCATGAGCATGGCGCTGGGTAACAGAGCAGCTGGAGTGTGGACTGCAGTTCCTGGTGGAGGGTGAACCTGGGTAAGTGTCACTCATCCAGGAGGTGAAGACACTTACTGCAGTGCTTTGACCTGGCCGGCTTCTCCGTGCCGCACGTAGGACACAGGGTGCCCTTCTGAAACAACACCCCATCGTAGGCATAGACCTCAGCCAAGGCCACGTGGTTTGATTTCGTTATTATACCTGTGAAAGAGAAGCAGCGAAGCAGAAGTCAGGGTGTCTGCAGGGTGTCTGAGGCTCCGTTTCCAAACTGCTCCAGCTCCCAGGCAGCAGAGCTTACCGGGGTCGGCGCGGGAGCAGAGCAGGAGGCAGCCCAGGTTCCCCAGCAGCAGCAGGTAGGGCAGCAGCAGGAGGAGGAGGGGGAACTGCAGCTCCCAGCAGTAAACACACACCTCCCATGTGTACTCCCCGTACACTGCCGCTTGCAAGGCCACGTGCAGCGCCACGAACAGGCGGCTTCTGGAACAGGCAGGGGACGAGCTGGTTAACACCCAGCATCGCTTAACGGGTCAAGGACGCTCGGAGGTGATCAGCAAAGACTTTCCAAATGCAAGGAGATGCCTCTTTTAGGTTTTCAGGCCAGCATGGATTGCATATTAATAGTGTTTTCTCCACCCAGTGGCTTCTCCTTCTCTTCTTCCCTCACACACTCCTTTAAATACACCAGCTAAATTCACCTCCATTACTGGCATGTCCTTTGGATTTTTTTCCCCATCAGCAGAGTCAAGTGCAAAGTCTCATAATCACTTGGCACTGACAAAATCTGCCACAGCAATAGGCCACAAAACATCCTGCCAGAGGACGTTTGCTCTGTGCTGCTTGGAAAGCAAAGAAAACCCCAGTAAAAGGTAATCTTGAAAAAACTGGGACCTGGGGGTGCTGAGCCTGGAGCAAAGGAGGCTCAGGGGAGACCTTCTGGCTCTGCACAGCTCCTGACAGGAGCCTGGAGCCAGGGGGGGGTCGGGCTCTGCTCCCAAGGAACAAGTGATAGTACAAGAGGGAACAGCCTCAAGTTGCCCCAGGGGAGGTTGAGGTTGTCCCTGAGGAACAATTTCTTCCCCTGGAGGGTTGCCCAGGGCTGTGCCAGGCTGCCCAGGGCAGTGGTGGAGTCCCCACCCCTGGAGGGGTTTCCAAGCTGTGGAGATGTGGTGTGAGGGACACGGGGCAGTGGGGACCTGGCAGTGCTGGGGAAGGGTTGGACTCAGTGATCTTAAAGGTTTCTTCCAACCAAAATGATTCTATGAATGAGGTGCCCCAGGTGGAGTGTGCATGTTGGACCAGCACACAGCACCTTCCAGCAACAACAGCCACCCCAGGCTGCTCTGCTGCTGACACTGAAATCAATCACTCTCCCCTGGGCTGTGTCAACAGCAGAGACACTGTACAGCAGGGAACAGAGCAACTGCAGCACACGTTCACCTGCTGTAGGTGTGACACCCCTGCAGCCTGTGTCTCTCTGGAGTTGCTGCCCCTGGAGGAAGGGTGTTTGAATCATTCCTGAAGCAGATCCCAAAGCACCACTGTTCACAGGACACCACCAGATTCACCTTCATGCAGCAGGCTGGATGCTGGCAGCTGCACAGCTTCCCCTGGAGCCACCCCACGTCCCAGCTGCTGGACTGAGACTGAAGGCATTTGAGGAGGAGGATGGGGACTGCCAGCTCTGAACTCAGCCTGCAGCTGCCAGAGTCTGCTGTGGTTCTCGTGCGAGCGGAGCCTCCCACCAGTGTGACCAACATCTGTTCCCCTGGAAGCTGCTGAGCCACATTATCTTTGTCAATATGTTCAAATATTTCAGGGCACCATCTTCCCAACAATAAGCAAGGACCAGAAAGACAAGAGTGTGGCAAACCTTGAGGGGAATCTGCACTCCCCAACAAGCACCCCTAGCAAAGACAAATATCTCAGGATAATACTGAAAGCTCTGACAGTGGCAGAAGGTGACCAGAAATACTAGTAAAAAATAAGGTCAAAAGCACGAAAAAAGAAGTGCAGTACCTTGTGTGGAAGAGCCTGTGAAGTGCCCTGTGTGCCACTCCCTGGAGCCGTGTGGGGATTACCAATGACAACACCTGCAGCAGATGAAAACACTGTGTTATCTCAATTGCACATGGCTTCAACCTCGTGGCACCTTCAAACAAAACCACGTCACCTGATGCCCCGGTTACACGTCTGTAGCCATCTCATCTCACCAGAGGAAGCTCATTTTCAGGGGTGTCTGAGCTCCAAAGGACACACAGGCAGGCATGCTGCTGGGATTTTCAAAAGGGGCGTGAGGTTCTGTGCTCCTGGGAGCCCCCCAGGCACAAAGGATCTGGGTTAATGTGTGAAAGTTCTAAGGAGCTTATCCCGGGTGACAGACTGGGTGACTGGTTAAGCAGGGGATAGAACGGAGCTGTTTCCGAATGACAATATGCTTCCTCAGGACACAGCACAGATGCAAGCAGAGATAAGCAAAGGGATAAAGCCCGAGATCCTCCAGAAAGAGGAAAAAACCCACAATGCAACCAAAATGCAAGCAACCCCCCAGAAATCCAGTTTCTTCAGCTCCAGCTCTGCTCCAGTCGGATAACTCCACGCCTCTCTGAGTGCCACTGCAAACCCCCACGACACGAGGCAGCCGCG